GTAGGAAAAGTCAGATGAAGCTAGTGGGTACATTGGTGTAAATGTATGTGCTGTCTCATGAACCTGACTGATTGGGGTCAGAAATCAATCGCTGAGCTTTCTAGCAATGCACGCCAGGAGCTTATTGTCTAGCAAGGGCACAGCCCAAAACAAGTGAACAAACAATAAATAAAAATTTTTCATACGGAGGGGAAAGCAAGAGGAGAGAGAGAGAGAGAGCTTGGGTAGCAGGGGGTGAGCAGGGAAAGATGGCACGTATACCTCCATCCCACCTGTTTAATTCCATGTTGAAAGTCCTTACTACGGTCTGTATCCCCCATTCTTCAAGGCCAACATGGTCTTACTGGATCATCACCTCCAATCACCCAGGTTTCAGCCACATACCCAGCTCACCCGTCACCACAACAACCACAGGGAGGACAGAGGGCAACGCGGGAGCCCAGAGCCATCAAGTCGAGAAAGAGGGCTGCTGCCCAATCCTCCCTTCCTTTCTTCCTTTCTTTCTTTCTTCCTTTCTTCCTTCCTTCCTTTCTTTCTTTCTTTCTTTTAAAGAGGGATTTTTTTTATTATTGATTTCAGATAGAAAGGGAGAGAATGATATAAGCATCAATGAGGAGAGAGAATCATTGATCAGCTGCCTCCTGCATGCCCCACACGGGACCGAGCCCACAACCCAGGTATATGCCCTGACCGGGAATCAAACCGTGGCCTCCTGGTTCCTAGGTTGACACTCACCACTGAGCCACGCCAGTTGGGCCCAGCCCTCCCTTTATGCTTCTCCACCCTTCCACCAGGGTCCCTCATCCCCCTACCAATCACCAAAATAATTTCTGGGCAGATTAAAGACTTCAGTGTAAAAATAAACGGACTCATAGAAAACCAAGAAGGAATAAAATGGTCAGGCACCCTTGTGAATGTGCAAACACTGAAGGCAATCGGTCACAAAGAGAAACGTCAACAGTCTTCCTGCATAAGCGTTAAACGCGTGCGCTGGTCACAAGCACAAAACTGAAACAGGAGCTGACCCACCCCTCCTAATTTGTCCGAGGCGCAGATCCACAAGGAACAAAGGGTTCCTTGTCTGTGAGCAGGCACAGGCTGGGCTGAGGCCGGCGCCCCCCCCCCCCCCCCCCGCCTCAAGACTCTGAGTTGTCTGCTGCCCCTGAGGGCTCCCTGCACCGCTGCTCGAATCCCTAACAAAGCAAAGATGAAATTGTGCTGTGAATGTTGGTTTCTATCTCCACCTTCATGGTCCATGGGCCCCTTGACATCCTAGCATTTTTATGCTCTCCAGGCCAGCGCAGAGTGGAACTCAGTGACTCTTTTTTTGGTGGATATCTGTTATGTTTTCCAATTACATAGCTTTTGGTAAAAATTGTAGTTAAAATACACATCACATAAAATTTGCCATCTTCATTTTTTGAGGAGCTGCCATGTTATTTTCATAGCCCTACCAGTTTACCGCCCCACCAACAGAGCACAAAGTTCCAATTTCTCCTCATCCTTACCAGCACTTGTTATTTTCTGGGGGTTTTGATAGTAGCCATCCTACTGAGTGTGAGGTGGCATTTCACTGTTGTTTTGATTTGCATTTCCCAATAAGTATTTTAAAATATATTTTTATTCATTTCAGAGAGGAAGGGAGAGGGAGAGAGAAACATCAATGATGAGGGAGAATCATTGATCGGCTGCCTCCTGCACACCCCACAGTGGGGATGGAGCCCACAACCTGGGCATGTGCCCTGACAGGGAATCAAACCGTGACCGCGGTTTATAGGTCGGCGCTCAACCACTGAGCCACACCAGCCAGGCCCAATAGTATGTTTGTTGTTTTTGTTTTTTTAATGAAAGAGTTAGCCGGCTAAAAATAAAAAAATCAAAAAAATTCATATGGCAGCAATGATGAAGGGTTAACATCTTTTAGATGTAAAATGATTATACAAATCTCTAAGTAAAACATTAGGATCCCCAAAAGATAAATGGACACGGACAGACAACTCCAAAAGAGGAAACACAGCGTAAGAACAAATAGTCAGCATCACATGTAACCAAAAAGGACAGAATATGATGCCATGTTTTACCTGGTAAGATTGTAAAGATCAAAAAATAAAGAGCCCGGCTGGTGTGGATCTCAGCACTGCTGACTGACCCGACCACTCCTGCATTGAGGACTCGCCCGGGCCTGGTACCGCGTGGCCAGGCCGACACTGCCCCCTCGTGGCAATAGTGTGAAACTACAACCTGCCGGATGGAATCTCCGTCTTCTACCCACTGAAGACAGAACAGGTAGTTTAGGATCTAGACCTGAGTTCCCTTCGTCCAAGAGGCTGACTATTCATCAAACTATGACAGCTTCCTGAGCCCTGATGCCCCCAGCCCCCTACCTACACAGTAATCTTACCTTGGGACATGCACATCATAGGATTAACCGTATGAACTTTCCGGTAGCTGACCGTTCGCGTTTAACATGTAAAAACACACAGACACATACAAGAGACACACACGAACATGGCCCCAGACCTCACCCTCACACACACACACACACAGACACGCAACACCTCCACACACTCCTCTCCTCTGGGGACACACAGACGGATAGCCCTCAGAGAGCTGTCAGCCGTGGGACAGGAACTACCACCAAGCTCTACACGACCGCACCACTACCTAATTCACACACAACACCCCTTCGTCAGCTCCACTGCGGTATCGTCACCTCTCCCTTCCCACCTCCTCCTCAGCCTCAAACTCACCAGGGACATCCCATGTTGAATATCACCTCTTTAATCTCTAGGGACCAGCCCACATCTCTGCTCCACTATTTTTTGTACTTAATACACATAGAACCCCTCGGGGTCTAGTTAAAATGCAGGTTCCCATTCAGTGGCCGAAGGTGGGCCCAAGAATCTGAATTTCTACCCAGGTTGTAGGTGGTGCCAGGGCCACACGTTGAGTCGCAGGCTTTGCTTCTTTCTCTGGCCACAGTTTCCCAGGAGTTCCATGCTATGGTCTCATCCCAGGCCCTTCCCCCGCCCTCTGCCGCCTGGCTTCCCCACCCCAGCACCCCACCCGCCCACTGACTCCAAAGAGTCACTGATGAGTGAAGCCAGTGGCCTAGCCTCAGGCTTTGAGGTGTTTACATCTGGGCTGCCCCTTCCTGCCTGAAACGTCTCCACCTGTAGATTCTGGGTGATGCCTGGTGGGCCTCCTTTTCTGCATCCCTCTGACACCCCTTGAGGGCTCTGTGGCAGCTCATGCCCACACTCAGGGGCTGCTAGGAAGCTCCGCCTGGGCCCTAACAGCTCCTATCGCCACTTGTCTAAGACCAGCCTCCTTGGGTCGCTGTAATAATGGCAATGCCTATTTCATGGCATGACTGTGAGAATTAAATAAGTTAATACATATCACCTGCTTGGAGCAGTACTCGAGGAAGAGTTTGCTATTATTACCTTCAAGATAATAGCCTTTGCTAAAGTCCCCAAATCTCCAGAGATTGTGACCTGAAGGAAGACCTTCCTACTACAAGGTTGTGGACAAATTCTTTTTTTTTAATCCTCACCCAAAGATATATTTACTGATTTTTAAGGAGATAGGAAGGGAGAGAGAGAAATATCGATGTGATCGGGGTACATTGGTTGGCTGCCTCCCATACCTGCCCCGCCCAGGGGTTGATCTCAAAACTTAGGTATGCACTCTGACCGGGGATCAAATCCACAACCTTTTGGTGTATGGGATGAGGCTCCAACCAACTGAGCCACTGGCCAGGGCTGGACAAATTCTTTTACCTACCTACCTACCTACCTACCTACCTATTTATGTCTCTTTTCTCCTAAATATCTCTGAGAGGTCTCTATTGAGAGGCTAATCTCTCAGCAATATCTCTCTTACACTTCTTTTTTTAAATATATTTTTATTTATTTCAGAGAGGAAGAGAGAGGGAGAGAGAGATAGAAACATCAATATGAGAGAATCATTGATCGGCTGCCTCATGCACACCCCCTTTTGGGGATCAAGCTCACAACCCAGGCGTGTGCCCTTGATGGGAATTGAACCCACGACCCACTGGCTTTATCCACTGAGCCAAATTGGCTAGGGCTCTCTTACACTTCCTAAAATCTCTTCCTTTTAACAAGCCCGAGGCCAGTAGCCAGAGAGAGAAGCAGAGAGTAGGGAGCCCCCTGCTGGACAAGAGGCCCATAGCACGCTTGCAACTGAACATCTTAAATCGGTGAGTCAGAGGGCTCCCTCCTCTACCTTGTACTATGTATCTGTGCAATATCTAGTATTTCACAGGTTTATGACTTGGAGGAAAACTATACCTCGAAGAAGCAAGCTAACTTTACATGATGTCAGACTGGGAACTTTCACATACGGCAATTCTTTGGATCGTTTTTATTTTGAAGATGTTGAAGCATATATAAAAGTGGAGAGGGCCCTAGCCAGTTTGGCTCAGTGGATAGAGCATGGACCTGGAGAACAAAGGGTTCCAGGTTCGATTTCAGTTAAGGGCACAGACCTTGGCTGCAGGCTCCTCCCTGGCCAGGCCCTGGTCAGGGTTCGTGTCGGAGGCAACCAATCAATGTGTTTCTCTGACCTCCCCTCTCTCTTCCACTCTCTCTAAAAAGCAATTCAATAGAAAAATAGCCTCTAGCGGGCTTTTAAAAATAAATTTAAAAAATAATAACTAAAAAAAAAAAGAATAGCCCCAGCTGGTTTGGCTCGATGGATAGAGCGTAGGCCTGCAGACTGAAGGGCTCCCGGTTCGATTCCGGTCCAGGGGTTGGGTTGTGGGCTCGATCACCAGTGGAGGGGGACCCTCCCCTTGG